CTTCTGCTCGACCTCCAATTCTTCTGTGGGCGGAGGCGCCTGAGAGCTGTTTTGACCTGATCGATCGTAGTGATGATCCTGCTCTACACCCTCTCTAGTACCCTCCACGGGTGTATTTCTCCTCACTGTGTCTCTTCTAGGTATATCCGCCTGCTGTGTCCATTGTGTGTTCGTCGCCCGCTCGGCTGCGGCTTTTGCGTACGAGGGAGCTTCTTCGCTGAAGCGTTGTGAGAGGGCGATGGCAGCGGCTGCCGTGAGGGTGACGCGGTCCGTTTGGTTCTTGACGGCTTTGGCTAGCGACGAGGTTTTGTTGTAAGCGTCCCACTGATTAGAGCGAAGCGCGACGTGCTTCTGTGCGACATATTTGGAGGCATTGAATAGCTTGGCGGCATCGACAAGCCGTCTACCTGCCATTTCGATCGGATGAAAGGGCTACCGGGAGGCGCGACACATGACGAGGGGTGCTGTAGCTTTGCGTAAGCTGCGGAGGCTCTCGTGAGGCCATCGAAAGTTATGCGCGTCATAGCCGGATGGGGTTAGGCTGAAGTGTGGAAATGGCGCGATTGGCTGGCCATCATAGCCGACAAGGGTCTTGATCGTCTAGTGGGGCAGCCAGCTGCATCTATACCCTCAACAGCGCGACATTTGATTTACTGTACTCTCCATATCCGTCGCCGCATTCGGTCCCATTTTACTTTTGGTAACCAATCAGACTTCGTAGCCATCTGTCACGACAAATCAACCAGTGCTTGGTGCCTGAGTAGCGTCAGTCGGTACTTCCCAGCCGCACGGGAAGATAGCAACTATTCGGCCTATCAGTCTCGACTGATTCAGGCACAAGATACAACTGTTCTCTTAGCAGCCTTCCGAAAACCCCAGACAGCCTCACAATTCCACGCCGAAGTCCTGGACGTAACCAGAATCCGTTCATTCAAACAAACCCAAGAGAGTTGCAAACATGAAAGTCGCCTGTCTCCAATTCGCCCCAGAAGTCGGGCGCGTCCCAGAAAACATCCAAAGAGCAGAACGCATCCTCCAGTCCACCGCAATCCCTCACGACCTAGCCTGGCTCGTCCTCCCCGAACTCGCCTTCTCTGGGTACAACTTCCAATCACTGGAGGAGATCCAACCCTTCCTCGAGCCTACCACATCCGGCATTTCAACCCAATGGGCACAGAAAGTAGCAAAACACTACAACTGCCACGTCACAGTTGGTTACCCAGAAATCACCACCCCAGCCACCAATCCCGCGGACAGTCAAACGCAGTACAACTCCACCGTCACTGTATCGCCAGATGGAGAAATACTAAACAACTATCGGAAATCCTTCCTGTACTACACAGACGAGACATGGGCATCTGAAGGGCCCGGTTCAAAGTCGCATAAACTATCCAATCCCTCATCGCCAGATTCTCCCTTCTATGCCGGCCAACTCGGTACTCTGGGAAAGGTTACCATGGGGATATGTATGGATATAAATCCTTACAAGTTCGTCTCTCCATGGGCCGATTACGAGTTCTCTACTCTCGCTCTAACATCGCAATCTCCGATTGTTTGCATAAGCATGGCTTGGCTGTGCCACCTTACGCCTACGGAACTTGTACAGGAGCCATCGCAGCCGGATATAGCGACGGTAGCGTACTGGGTTGAGCGCTTCCAACCGCTTGTTGAGGCCAAGGGGGATAAACCCGTCTATATCATCATGGCGAATCGGTGTGGGATGGAGAAGGGCGTCTGCTATGCAGGCAGCAGTACGGTGATAAAGATCGAGAAGGGTGTTGTCAGTCTCTATGAGACAGCGGGCAAGAGCGAGGAGACTTGTTTGATCGTGGATCTGACCCAGCGACCAAAGTTCCAGGTGAGGAGTGGGAGGTGATGGGTCAGAGAACGTCAACATGAGGGCTTTACCTTATACGGGGAAACCCCTAAACACCCCGGAGCCTACAGATCTTCTGATCCGTTGGTTCCTATCATGGTGTAGCCTGTAGATCTGTTTGGGGGTTTCCTTGTCTGAGGTGGTTTGCTTTCTGAGGCATGTTCGCTAATGTGGCCATCCGTAGGCCGATCGGACGTACGACAAAGACCGCCTTGGGCTGATCTTGAGACGCCTACCGTTGCAGCGGCAGCGGCGATTGTTGCCAGCCCCTCCAAAGAAACCTTACGCGCGGAGGTCGTCGTCGTAGAACGGTTTCTCCAAGAAGTCATCTCAATCAATGAGAAGACTAAGAACCCTGGAGCCTACATGGACGCCGGAGTTCTCAATTTGCCTGTGTTATCCTCGTGTAGTCTGTAGACCTGTCGGGTCTTTCCTTGTGTGAGGTGGTGTTATCGAAAGGCAAGGCAATAGGGCTAAATCAATATCGCGGGGGTCATCGCGGAATACAGTCAATGCAGTGTAGTCAACATCCTTCACAAGAGCGCCGTACATGTGTAGTCTTCTCAGGCCAGATGTGACAATGAGGCTGAAATGGAGTTTAGTGCCAACCCGCGTTGGGAGTGCGAGTGTCCAGTCCACAACAAAAGCGACGCTCGTCACGTATGACGCATCTGGGATCATATTGCGCGCAGTACATCACGATCATCAGCACACCAGAAGTCATTTGTTGTGACCCAGCAAGTGTTTCCATTTAGCACTGCTCAGATCTAAACCATCATGAATCGATTCCTTTCATTCCCATTTACAGACCCAAAGCGCCATGAATGAGAGGTAGGTAGGTATCCGGTAACGTGAAAAGAACACCACCCATAGCATCCCTCGTTTGCAGACGTGCTTCGCTTAGAAGACTGGTCGCTCGCTTCCCGCCATGTGCGAAATTCCCAATGTAGTCGCTCGTTTCGTGTGAGGTAGGTTGTCGGCGCAGTAACAAGGAGTAGTTGGGAATCGAGAATCGAGTGAGGGATGGTTCGTCGGGGGCGATACGCTTAGATACCGAGACGAGTCTTGCGCCAGTGTCGGCGCTTGGCGTTGTACCTGTGGGCGGAATGTCAGTCTCGTGCTCTCATCATCATATTCTCGTGTCCTCGTAGTCTCTAGTGACGGAGATCGGAAGCGGCGAGAGCGTGCGGATCGTGGGTAGAGCGTACCTGATGGTGTTGCCGGTCCTCAGGCGAATCCACTGGGGGATGGGGCGGTTCTGCTTCTGCGCCTTTGCAAGCTTCTGCTTGGTGCGGAAGGACTTTTGGGACTGCGAAAGTGTCAGTTAGTTGCCCTGCAGTGCGTCGCAACCGCGGGCGGTGATATCATACCGGCATCTTGACTGCTTGTTGTGAGTAGTCGGATGTCGAAAGGTGTTGTCGATGTCGGAAAAAAGCCAGGAATATTGATCGATGTTGGTGCGCTTGGCGGGCGGCAAGCAGAAACGGCTAGACTGTGTTGGGCGCGCTAGCGGGGCTTTAGCGTCATTGCCGTCTCAAACGCGCAGGTGCGCTGACCTGCAACATTGACATTTCGCTGCTCCAGATCCTCGAAGTGCGCAAAAGGGCTGAAGCCTCAAGCGAAATATCTAGTCTTGTATCAAGAACAGTTTCCTGCGCTGTGCTTCGCGGGGTGTGACTGACTTCGTAGTTCGGCTCTGCGGCGTGACCGCGCTGAACCAACACGCATAGCCAACATTGCGCAAAATCGCAGAGCGCCATACCGGACTGTATCATGGCATCTGATGCATCCTTTGGCCTATCAGCCAAGTTCTGATTAGTAGAGACGGTTTAGCATCCAATTATGCGACTCTACTACAGTTGACCACGCCTCCCCCGCTTTTCACATAACTTCTCAGGGAAACCTTGGAAGGAATGATGCACTAAGACGGTTCTCCTAAGAGTCGGTATTGTATCTGCTATTATTACTGATTTTATCAATGCGACAACTACCTCACAAGTCAATCTCAGCAAATGATATCTAGCAGTCAGGCGTTCAATCACAATATTCGCTTCTACCTCATAAACTTGGTCGCATAACCGTATCGCAAATATGGAACCGAAAGATTCCAAAGGTACGAGAGCTGCCCATAGTTACCGTATACTTCCAGACGATGTCGTTAAGAGAGAGTAGAGAATGCAGCATTACAAGACACCCATGCAACAGCAGCTGCCACCCTACTTAAACTTCCAAACCAAAACACCGCCTCGGAATCTGCTTCTCGTCCTCCCCAAACAACAGCCACTCGTCGCCTCCGCGCGGTCAAAGCACACCTTGCCCCTCCTAAACGCTATGCAGTCTACGCAAAAGACCCTAAGAACATAGCCCAAGTGGCCGCCACGCGAGCGTGGCTCGACACCCTCGTGTACGACACATTCGCGATACGAGAATACTACAGCTGGTATTGGGGTGATGAGGGTATACCGAAAGAAGAGATCGAAAAGGCCGATGCTGAAGGTAGATTGGAGCAATGGTTTGATGAGGCTGAGGTTGTATCTATGTGGTCGGGGTGTATGCTCGACGAGGAAGGGGCGAGGTTGGTGGCGGAGAAGACAGAGTGGATTTCAGTGATTGACGGGAGAAGGTATCACATCTCTGATATGTGCTGATGTGGAATGAGGTCTTCAAGAGGAGAATTTGTTGACACAAATACTATGGCAAGGTGGAATATACATGCTTGTTTCAACATATCACTGCATTATTCCAATGTATGTGGAAGAGGAGCTCTATGTTTCTAACATGGTCGGTGAATTCCATCACTCTTTATTTCCGGAAAGCCTAGAACAAGAATGCTCTTGCGCCATAGTCCGCGTATGGTGTCCATGAAGCATCGAATAGTAAAGAGGACCAGGTATTGGACTACTTCATGAGGACGTAGCAAACGACGAATTCCAATTGTGACAGATGAGCATGAGCCACTGCCCGATGAAAGCTCGGTCGTCTCGTGTCGCGCAGTGATTCATGAACTTTCTGGGGAAAACATTGAGGGTGCTGTTCTAGGAGCATTACGGTGAATTCACCTACTAGCGTGGCGCTATGGCATAGGCAACTTTCTAGTCGCTCTTTTTACAGTCACCTCCACCTAATGGCATTCTATCTCACATCCAAGACAACTCGTTTCGACTCTGGATCACACAGTGGCGCTCGGTCACAGTTTGTCGCCGCAATGGCCCTGAATTTCTTGTAAGCCAATCGACATGATATCTACAACAAGTTTAACAAGTATGACAGAACCATGGATCTCGACACAGTCACCGTCCGCGTCGGCGAAGCAGACACAGCAGTTGATATCACCGTCTACCGCGATGTTTTGTCGGCAGTCTCACCGTACTTTCGCAGTGCTTTCGAGGGTCCCTTCGTGGAGACTACCGATCGCTCCATATCCCTGACGGACGTCACCGAGCAGACTTTCCGCATGTTTCTACAATGGGCACATACCCAAAAAGATCAGCGGTCAAGTGGCGCTACGGTTCCTTCACCTGCGATACTTCTGCAAAAGTCCACAACACAGCATGCGCACGAAGCTGCCACCGGTCTTGCAGAGCTGCAGCTCCCACATCGTGCGAGAAACGGCCCAGATGCGGAGACTCAAACACACGCTACACGAGCAATCGACGAGTCGGCCGGCCGTCACAGTCCAGAAGTTCTTGAAGAGGCGAAGAGGCTCTGCTTCTACAACCCGGAATGGCTTGACAATTACCTTTTGTTGCTACTGTCTTTCCTGCGTCTCTACATCTTCGCCGATAAGTACGACGTTCCCCAGTTACGAGACGACGTGTTGACTGCCTTAATCGCACAGTCAACTACGTGGAGTTGGTGGCCAGGTCCCCAAAAAAAGTTGATTAAGTTTACTTACGCAAATCTGCCGCCATCTTCCAAGTTCACCCGCTTCTTAGTCTTGTCCACAGCATACACTTGGTTTTGGCGACCTGAGGACTGTAGTGCTACCAAATTGCGTGCCTTGAAAGAGGCGAACGAGGACCTTGCTTTCGACGTTGCTGTTGTGCAGATCCAGAGGCTCAAGGATGAAAAGTCGTCAAAGGATATGCCCTCACGGCTGAAGGACGCTCTGCCCAATTCTTGCGCCTTGCACGATCACCTCCATAATGCGGAGATGTGTCGAGAGCGCATTTACAACCAGCCACACATCTTCACTGGGCTCATCGAAATGTGTGCACAAGACGCCTTGAGGATGGCGAAGGAACCCGACGAGACATATACTTCATACAAGGAAAGATCCTGAACAAGTGAGCTGCCGTCTACCTTGGTTTAGAAACCTAAGTTAACAAGATTCCAGGGCAAGGCAATTTTCTAGGAGGCAGATGTTCAACTTTTTCTTTGCATGTGGTGAATAGGTGGGGAAGGCATCCTGGGGTATACACTAGAGCCGATGAATGACCAAGACATTCGTGTCAAGGGTTCAAATTTTGGCGCCGACCTCTGAAGATGATAGACAGCCAAGACAGGAGTTTGAGACCTGGAACGGCGCTACTGTACCGGCGTGGGGATGAGTACATTACTTGAGACTGCCGGTCAGTGTGGGTCCCCGCCAAAAAATGGGCACAGAACGGCCAGAAGGCTCAACTTCATGAAGTCGGGTCCCAACGGGAGATTCCAGAGGACAAGCGAATGAAAGTAATGTTGCAGAGGGGCTCAATGTGACTGCGTGAAACATAAGACACGAAACTATAGTCGAAATCTTGCAGCGATGTCTCGGCTGTTCGACCCCAGATTGCTAGTGCGGCGCTATGGCCACAGCTAAAGTGGATGCAGGCGCAAGGATTCTGGGCCTCAGAAATGTCGATCCCGTCTCCGAACCAGGACCCTCTTGTTTCGGCGAACCTACTCGTCGCATTCGCGCACGCGTCGGCGGTACCACGGTTGGTCATGTCTCTTGGGCGTTGACACCGGCTGAAGTGCTTCACGGCATCTTCTTTTTAACTCTTCGCATCGCCGCGCTTTTCATCTCAAGTCTGTTTGGCTGGCGCGCGCATTTACCCGTCCAAGTCTTTTCCCGTAGTCCATCGCGGTGCGCGATAGCGATAAGAGAACGACACCAGGTTGGCTCATTGTCTTTGTCGCGTCGACGCGCAGGAACTTGATTCGAAGGAATTGGCCCTCTAATCACGCCTCTCGAGCGACTGCATTCCAATCGCAGCCATGACAGACTATGGCTCCACACCACCGCCCAAGTCGCCCTCTCCGGTGACAGTCCCACGCTCATCGAGCCTCCCGCGCCTGGCCAGCTCCAAGCTCTTCCTCCCGCTGCAGAACGATGCTTCGGCGATATCCACGCGCGGGCACCACCTCCCCTCGCTACTCAACAGCGCACGTCGGCCGTCTACTATACGCAGCAGTGAGCGCCGGGGCAGCGACACAGACGATGAAGACCTGGAGGCATACAGAAACGGGCTCGTGATGCCTTACGACCGCGACTCTGATCGGAGGAGCAGCATAGGCGCGCATGTGCTCAACACGCCGCAGATGAGGAGCCAGCGGCTGATTGGCAACTCCAATCCCCGGTACAAGTGGGAGAAGTACTACAAATCCGAGGAAGAGCTCAAGGGCATGAAGAAGCCGATCCGCGAATACTACGAGCGCAACAACCAGCTCCTGCAGCACTACCTATACATCGACCGTCTACTCGACTCCTCCCTCCCGCACAACCTCATCCAAGAGTACACGAACATGGAATCCGGTGCCGTCAAGATTCCCTCAACCATCCGGGAAGAATCTTCGGCATCGACTTCTCCCCTCGCTGTTACCCCCGCTGGTACAAATGGTACCAACACGCCCGGTTACTATAGTGAGAACGGGCGAAGTGGTTCATCGGGCAGTCTCAACGGCAATGGCGCGCAGAAGCCCATGGTCAAGCGCACACCAAAGAACCTCTACAAAGTCCCCGAAGCAGACGAAAACACGCCTCTTCTCGCACATGACGAGGCCGTAGAAGACGAAGAAGACCTAGAGGTCGCAAACTCCAAGCTGAAGGACTGGGTCCCGGAAGAAGACGAAGACACCGAAAGCCCCATCGTCAAGCTTGCACTATACGTCAACCTCAGCGCAAACACAGCCCTTCTCATCATGAAGATCGTCGTCACAGTCCTCACCTCGTCCCTCTCCGTAGTCGCCAGTTTGGTCGACGCAGCCCTCGACTTCCTCTCCACGGCCATCGTGTGGTTCACATCCTGGATGATCGCACGTCAAGACCGCTACGCCTACCCAGTCGGCCGCCGCCGTCTCGAACCCATCGGCGTACTCATCTTCTCCGTCATCATGATGACCTCCTTCTTCCAAGTCGGCATCGAGGGCATTTCCCGACTCACTGGACCCGACCGCACAATCGTACAATTGACCATCCCCGCAGTGGCCATCATGGCCGCTACAGTCGTCATCAAAGGCCTCTGCTGGCTATGGTGCCGCCTCATCCGCAACTCGTCCGTCCAGGCACTGGCCCAAGACGCCATGACTGATGTCGTCTTCAACACCTTCTCTATCCTCTTTCCGCTCGTGGGTTACTTCGCCAAGATCTGGTGGCTCGACTCGCTCGGCGGTATACTGCTTTCCGCTTATGTTATCATCAACTGGAGTGCTACTTCCGCGGAGCACATTCGCAATCTGACTGGTGCCAGCGCAACGGCGGATGAGCGCAACATCCTTCTCTACATGACAATGCGCTTCGCAAAGTCTATTAAGAGGATTCAGGGTCTGCAGGCTTACCACGCGGGTGACAAGCTGAATGTCGAGGTGGATATTGTGGTTGATGAGAATCTCAGTTTGAGGGATAGCCATGACTTGGGTGAGAGTCTGCAGTATGTACTTGGTAAGTCATCCTTCTTCTCTATCTTTACGTAGACCAGGAAACTGACAGGGTTACAGAGAGTGTGCCGTACGTTGATCGCGCGTTTGTACATATCGATTATACGGATTACAACTTCCCGACACACATGTCGCAGCAGGAGTGAGCGGAAGATGTGCCTGACACCTGAGTTGGCTGTACATATAGCATCGGAGACAAAAGCATCTGGAAATGGAAGACCTGGCTGAGCAATAGAACCATGGTGATACATAGCATGTGCTTGCGAACTCGCCTTCTGTAAAGACTGCGCATCATCGCCTCTTCTCAGGCTCATGTGGTTGCTGTTGGTTTATGGAACTAGAGATATCCGCAACAAAGGACGTCGAAACGAAAACGAGCGTGAAAGAGACACATCAGTCCAAGCGGACGGACCCCAGTCCAAGAAGAGACGGTAGGGAAAAACATAGCCCAGAACTCTACATAGAGACAAAAAGAATGAAACGACAGAAAGAGGTACCCATGTCATTGCCACGACCACACATGCACTCACCACGTGCAACCAACCAGCCGTCTCCGTTTTCTCTTCCTTCCATCCTGCTTGGTCAGACTGTTCTCACACAGCTCATCCGACAGGGGATCTACAACACCACGTCAGCAAAAGATCGAAGCGCACAGTCATCACTTCCCACTCCAGACTCTCGGACTTACCATGGTTTTCGAGATCACCGGCGCAACTAATTTGCTGCTCGCCCTTGAACAGCGCTCCCGGACTCTGCCCATCATTCCTGTAGACAAATTCCTCGCCGAAAAGATTCAGCGTCCACTCTCCCGCCGGCCACGTCGGATGCTCGAATAGATTCTCATCAGTCGTTGCGCCTTGGTCGTCTTGGTGGAAGTCGTTGAGCAGAGAAGTGCACAGGCTGTCGGGTTCTTGGTTGTCGTCGTCGCGACGGTAGAAGAAGTATCGGTTCTGGTATTTGAATTTGCAGCTGTCATGTGGGGGGAAGTCGGGGTTAGAGATGACGCTGGAGCATTCTGGGGTCGTGGTTTGTTCGAGGCCGACGGTGAAGGTGCGCTTTGGTGCTTGAGGGGGTGGGCTGGGCGACTGGTTGTTGGAGACGCTGTCGTGGGCTGCTTTGTCGGCGCCGTTCCAAATCTGTTTGGATTGTCAGCCTCCTTACTAACTTCGGATTGTGTTGCCGTTGTCCTTACCATGTTGACTTGCTTGTCAGGATCTTTGGCACGCTCCTAGCTCGACTCAGGCGTGGTTATCCATCTCTTGATTTCTTTCACTCGGTCGGGTCCTTGCTTGCTCTGGTCCCAGGACTCGTAGTTCATATGTGTAGCAATAATGCCTGCCACCGCCGGTGCAGCGAACGACGTACCCGAATCCTGCGTTGCTGCACCGTCATATTGATCGTGGACGTCGACATCCACTCCAACACCGTAGATAGTCAGCTGTGTGCGCTTCTCTGGATCTTGCTGGGTACCCAGGCCTTGCGAGAAAGGTGCAGCTTTGCCTGCAAGCGTGGCAGCCCCGACGTTGATAATGGGAAAGTCATCTGTCTCCAAGACCTGGGGGAAATGGTCGATGACTTTTCGGCCTTCAGTTTCGGCTTCATTACCCGAAGCGAGCACCACGGGGACCCCGTAACTGAATAACTGCTTTATCCAGCGAATCTGTTGCTTTGCTCTGTAATCGTTCTCTGCTTCTTCTCGTGTGTAGCCCTTGTAACCATTGTCTCCGACGGCGCGTTCTGTGCCGCTGCTCATAACGACAACCTGAAAGTCACGCGACGTTAGTATACTCCATAAGCTTGGTCCAGAACAGTAACCATGCGTCGATGGCGTCAGTTGTTGGTCGCACTTACAGCTTGGAACCCTGGTATTTTCCTGCGCCGTCTGATTACATCTGCAACAATCCTTTCGAACCCGTTGTGAATGTCGTCTCCGCCCGGTTTGACCTGCACCGGCACCAGTGTCGCTCCCTTTGCGGTTCCCCACTGCCCAACGATTTTGGACGCTACTTTCGTTCCGTGGCCTTTAGGGGAATGGTCGTATCGAATGTTGTGCGCAGCATTTTGGCTGGTGAAAGCTCTTGTTTCTACGATACCGCTATTGTCCTGCTCGTTGTCGAATCCCGGAAACACTTTTTCGCCGGTTTCCTGGAGTCGGGTTAGAGCGATGTCACCAACGTATGTGAGGTAAGTCATCACCTTTTTGACATCTACCTGTACTCCATCATCCAAAACATACACATGTACTCCCTCTCCAGCTCTCTTCTCGTAAACGTAGTCTTTGCTGTTTGTAACAGGTTAGTTCCGGCCTTTTTAGGGCTTCAAGTACCGTAGTAGGTACTTACAAGCCGTCCAAATTGCTTCCCCTTGGGTTGACATGTTAGCCCAGTCAAGATACAGCATTCAGACCTTTACTTACTCGTAACAGCTGGCTTGGACCAAGTCCCGTGCTGCACCCTCCTGCTTCTGCCAATCTCCCCATTGAAATTTCCGAGCCTCCAGAGTTCCCGTGGTCTTGACACTCATTCTGGGGACAGCAATCATCTTCACTTCGTGGTATTGACTCGGATCCTCGACATGCTCCACCCATTCCTTCTTGGCCACCACCTCGTCGTACCCTGACTGGTCTAATATAACGCCTCCCCACGCGTAAACTACTTCGTAATTGTCAAGCTCGGCGTCGAGCCTGCCCTCGTCGTACAATCTGTCGAGTTCGTCTTCTGGTATGTCTTCGGGCTCATCCCAGGGAAACCTCTTGTCCTCGCGCATCTTAGACTTGTCCTTGGTCAAACCTTCAAGCCAAACCCGAGTTTCGTTGACTTGGGCCTCGTTCCTGATGTCGGCTGCGTAGACGGTATATGTCTTCGTCGAGAGTGCACGTGCGTTCATGTCCGAAGTGTGTAGATTAGCTGCAATTGCCTCTATCCTGCAGAGGTAAAGGTATGAAGTTAGCATATGTCTCCCATGCACTTTGTACAGCCATGACTTGCCATTCCGTTTTGGCTGCGACCTTCTCGTATCCAGCCTGGTCCAAGACCACGCCTGACCAGCAACGCACCACTTCGTAATTGTCGAACTCCTCTTCTAACCTGCCTTCATCGGCCAGCTTGTCCCACTACAGAGGGAAAATCTGAAGTCAGTATTCATCTCCCATGTGTTTCGTATATCCACAGCTCACCTCTTCTCTGGGGAAATCTTCGTAGGTGTCCCATGTCCATCCCAGCTCGTCACGCATCCTGTCTTTGTCTTTGACAAGGCTCTTGAGCCAAGTGCGCGTCTCATTGACCTGGGCTTCGTTGTGGACGTCGCTTGCCCAGACCGTGTAAACTCGGGTCTCAGACGAAGCATCTTGCTGCATTTCAACGGTGGTAGATCCAAGTGGGACGTCTCTCGGCAAGGAAGTCGCAGCTTGTTGATCGACTGGCGGGTTTACATCCATCTGTGATGCTCCTTCGCTCTTGACTGGCTCCAGGGATTCTGCGGCGTTACGGTTAGCAGATAACATCGACGACGTCAGCCGAGCGAAAAGAAGCACTGCTAAGTGGAGCCTCATGGCTGTGATAAGGAGTTTGAAGAGCGTCAGAGATGACTATGAATCAGCTAAGCAATAGGATGAAGAACGAGACAGCCTCGAACAAAGATCTTGAGGTCCAAACTGGCTCCCGAGTGTATCGCCTTATACCCAACGTCTTTCTCAATATGCATACTCATCTACTGGCGTCTTTGGAGGCACTCAAAATGAGACCGCCCTCTCTGGCACAGAAGCAAGACTGCGTAATCTGATCCAAGTCAAGGGATAACCTCAACCCGAGGCTGAGGGCACAATCACCCAGGTTGATTCAGGCGTCGCATGCCGGGTCGAATTCGTCTTGAGTACAGAAACAATCGTATGATCCGATCCAATTAATGGGCAGAATTCAGCGAGTCCCAAAGCTGTAGTCACCCAAGGTGATGAAGGCGTGACATGCCGGGGCGGCTTTTTCCTGAAGACAAGAACGACTGCCTGATCCGATCCAAGTAAGGTGCAGACTCGAGTTGATCTCCAAGGCGCAGTGACTAAGACTGATGCCGGCATAGTCCGACAATGTGGGTTGATCTGAGCGCAGGCGTAATATGATCCAAGCAAGGCGCAGACTCGACTCAACCCCAGAGACACAGTGACTCAAGCTGACAGCGGCGTAGCACCTCTCGGTGCGCAACCACAATCCAGCCCCCCACCGCGACGAAGATTGTAGCAGACAAATGCACCTCCGGAAAACGACAAAAGAAAGACGTACCATTCCGTTTCTTCTCCATCTTCACGTCCAATGATAATGCCAATCGATATGTAAGCGCAACTCACTCCGATGCGTACTCTGCAGAAATCGACGATCTCGTTGTCGAAGAGGAAGACGGAAGATCCAGGTTGTGGAATGGGGCGGTTGCAGGAAGCAGGAAGAAACACCATTTCGAAACGCTATTGGAAGTGAGTGCCCAGGTGACACGGCATGCATCATGTGATATTCAGATTAGCAGTCGCGTTCGCGAACCGACGTCATCTGACAGCGGGGCACAGTCCTGGAAGGCAGCAGCGACCCCGACGTTCGGTTGACTGCAAGTTTAGATTTCCACGCAAGAGAGGATGCGCATTTGACTCAGAATTGGACCTGATCTGGTTCGGAATGGTTGTTGGGGTTGTACCTCGGTATGCGGGATGATTGCGATTGACTTGGTAGACCGTCTGTTGACCATCACCATTTGAAACAAGTTTGAAGACTTAGCTATCGCATCTGAGGATTCCAACGCCACCCAATGCCATATATTACAAACCTACACTCCACCACAGCCACCTACCCATCACAACCCCTCAACACTAATCCCCTGCGCCACACCCCTATACTTCTCCTTCCTCGCCTCAATCTCCTCCTTCATCCTCGCCTGCCTCTCTTCTTTACCCACCCCCCTCACGAACTGCAACAACCTCAACGCACCCGTCGGCGTAACACCCTCAACGCGTCTCGCCATGCCCACGCTCTCCGGCCGCGCTACCTCCAACGCCCTCTTCTCCTCGAAGCTAAGCCCAAAGATGGATTCGTAGTCAAGGTCAACTGGTAACTTGAGGTTCTCGTCTTTCAGCCACCGGGCTTGTGTGGCGGTTTGGGAAGCGACGTAGGGGGCGTAGGTGGCTTCGATGTGAACGCGGTCTTGGATGCGTTGTGAGAAGCCTCTGATTTCAGGAAGGAAGGTGGTGAGATTTGAGGGGGTGGTGTTGGGGAGGCGGAGGAGGTCGTATGCGGAACGTTTTGTGCTGTCGTTTCTTACGGGGAAGCCTGCTTTGTTCCAGTCTGTCCAGCCCATGGTTTTGGATTGGAGAACTTGGGCTAGAGTGGCTATTTGTTCGGCTTCGTCTTCGAAGGCTTTCCATCGTAGATCGCTAACTACGCCGGCGGCCCGGCCCATGGCGGTGAGACGCGTGTCGGCGTTATCTGCGCGGGCGGACATGCGGTATTCGGAGCGGGATGTGAACATTCGATAGGGTTCTGAGACACCCTTTGTGATGAGGTCGTCGATCATGATGCCGATGTATCCATCCGCTCTCGTCAAGACCATGGCTTCTTTTCCTAGACTCTTCAAGCCAGCATTAATGCCCGCGATGACACCCTGACCGGCGGCTTCTTCGTAACCAGTTGTTCCGTTGATCTGTCCAGCTAGGAAGAGTCCCGAGATGTTCTTTGTCTCAAGCGTAGAGCGAAGATGCCGTGGGTCTACGTAGTCGTATTCCACACCGTAGCCTGGTTGCAGCATCTTCACGTTCTCAAGCCCCTTGATAGTCTTGAGCATGGTATCTTGTACGTCTGCGGGAACCGTACAGGAGATTCCGTTTGGGTATATTATGTCGCTATCGAAGCCCTCCGGTTCCAGCCAGACAATGTGTGAAGTCTTGTCAGCGAAGCGTATCACTTTCGATTCCAGCGATGGGCAATACCGCGGCCCCTTGACGGTTTCGCGGATGTGTATTGACTTCTCGAGGTTGTTTCGTATTACGTCGTGTGTCGCTTCGTTCGTTCGCGTCTCGTGATTAAGTAATTGGTTCTCGACCTGAACGCGCTCATTCATATAGCTGAAAGGCATGGGCGGGTTATCGCCCTCCTGCGCTTCCAAAACTTTGTAGTCGATCGACTTTCCGTCCAATCGTGGCGGTGTCCCTGTCTTCAACCTTCCCATTGTGAATCCGGCATCCTTCAAACTCTTGCTTAGTCCAAATGTCGCAGCTTCGCCCATGCGCCCGGATGGGAACGACTCAAGACCAATATGTATTTCTCCACCAAGAAACGTGCCAGTCGTGATGACCACATTTCCTGTGGGTATTATCTCCCCACTCTCCAACCTTACACCAGTAATCTTTCCATATTGGCCCTTCGATCCCTCCTCTTGTGTCCTGTCCACGATGATATCCGCCACGCTACCTTCCACAACGCTCAACCCCTTGTATGCCAGCATTTCATCCTTCATATATCTCTTGTACAACGCTCTGTCGATCTGCGCTCTGGGTCCCCACACAGCAGGTCCCTTCTTCCTATTCAGCACCCTGAACTGCACACCCGCCTTATCCACAATGCGACCCACGACACCATCCAGGGCATCAATTTCGCGAAGCATGGTGCCTTTTCCGATACCACCGAAGGAAGGATTACACGAGCAGACACCGAGGTTGTGGACTGAGGGCGTTATGAGGGCCGTTCGGGCGCCGGAGCGGGCTGCTGCTGCGGAGGCTTCGCAGCCTGCGTGACCGCCGCCGATTACGATTACATCGTATGGCCTACATAAGAGTCAGTGTTGGTCAATTCGTGGGGTCTGATAGTAGAGTGGCGTACCGGTCTGCGCCAGACACCGTCGCGAATGTGCGTGGGCGACGACTGAAGCGATTGACCGACCGTACTCGAGGCGCGTGGCCCCAGAGCTGTCGCGCTGGTAACGGCACGACTCTGTGCATTATGTGAAGTGCTGTGTTGGAGTCCGGATGTTGCGCCACAAAAAGTTGGGATGGGCCAACTCGGAGGTCTTCGTTCGCCGCATCACGTCCGTGCGCAAGTGGGTAGTCTGACGAGATGCAATAGGTATACCGAGCTGCTGAACTGATAAATGCATAGTGAGGCTCTTTACTACTAGAAGTTCTCCCACAATCGCGTTGTTAGTAACTGTATGTTCATGTGTCATGAAGAAAAAGGTATCATTCCGTAAAATTCCAAGCCACGCCACTCCTAGAGTAGAGATCTTACAAAGTGAATTGTGAGCCCATAGTCGTACATTTGAATATCGTAAAGAGAAACTCCATAAGAAGATCCTACAGCGCCGCGCAAAGACGTGTCTCGTCGCAACTTCTCCACCCCGCAGCCAACACTTGCAACTCGAGCTGTTGTAGAATCTGCCGCCACGGTACATCATGTTCGAAGCAAGATGGATGAGCAAGCAAAACTGCCCATCTAACCAGAAGCTTCCTGAACAAGACCCTCGTCGTTATTCTCCGTGTCCTCAGTACGAGCACGAGACAAGACATCAAAGTTGCCTGCACAAATAAATTAGCATGACCTCTCTCATCCACCCGCATCCGAAAACATACGTGCAACCAAGCTCAAATTGCTCTTCTTATTGCCCTCGCTGTCAAGGTACGTCTCCATGCGCGCATCCGCATCAACGTAGAGCATCGATCCCTTGGGCACGTTCATCAGGAAATCCTTCTGCGCGCCCTGCACGAAACTCGCAATCCGGAACCAGCTGGTCTTCTTGTCCTCGCCCTTTCCGTAGCTCGTTCCTACTACGTAGCGCACGAGTGTCCTGTCGCCAGAGACGGTGACTTCTTCTGGCGCAACTCCGAGACGGCCGATGACGGTCATGCGCGCGACCTGCGAGGGGCGGGTGGACGAGAAGCTGCGTGCGAAGGTCGAGGTGGGCGCGCGGGCCGCTGCGCGGAAGGTGGAGGAGAACATCGTCGCGGTGGTTTTGGCGCGGAATTGGTGGGTTGCAGAGGGAGTGGCGGTCGAATTGGCGGTTGTGGGCTGGAGGTTGTCGTGATGCGAGGCGAGTGGGGTTGTTTGCGTTTGCTGATGGGGCGCGACGCGGCTACGCTAGTGTAGCCCTGCCTAGGTAGCTTCGAAGGTACTGTACCAAGGTCGGATGATAAGGGGCGCTGACACGTGCGCCCATGGTGCCCAAGTCTTCATCCGCATCTGGTGTCTTAGGAGTTTTACCCGTGATCATTGTATGGATTGATAGGTAGTTTGACTAATCCATAGTCTCTGTGCTATTGGGTATATTTCGCTATGATACAAACATCCCTTGTAGGGATCCCAAGTCGGTATTCAGCCCCGGCTCGGCTACCGCTTTGCCTTCTTCTTCTCCCTCTCGTCCTCCTCACTGTCGTAGTCTTTGTAGATACCAACTGGCTGGGTCTTCTCCCACGCGCCGGTAAAGACAGCCTTCTCTCCCTCTTTCAGCGCATACTTGAGCAGCGCCTCTCTAGGATCCTCGTCCCTCATATCACTGCCTTCAATTTGCTCCATGACGTACTTCTGATCGGGCGTTGACTTGGCAAAAGGTGTTGTGGCTGGGATATGCGGTCTCCGTGGGTCGCGACTCTTACCCGAGGCTGTGAGACCGATGGTGGGATGGCGTACGGAAAACGAGGCTGCATTGCCAGAAGGATCGTGTGCTTCACCAGCCATACCGAGCGGGTCCATGTCTACGGTGAGGGACGGGTCGTCATCGAGGTGCCGCTTCTTGGGTGCCTTGCTGAGGATGGTAAGAGCACCGGCGTTGGACAGCTTGGGGTTGAAGAGGATTGTTGTTTGACCGTTGGCTGAACCTGTGAGGATCTGGTTGAGCCTGGGATGCCAGTTGACCGTTATCAGAGGAGAGCCTGGCGTGACTGGTGTGACCAGCTCCGGGCGAAGTGTGGCTGGGTTGAGGATGTGGAGGTGCCCGGTCTCTGATCCTGTGACTATGCTCTGAGAATTAGGCGCAAACTTGATATTCGATGTGGGATATTGTGAAGACGTTGACGGATGTGATGTGGTGTTAAGAGGCGTCTTGAACTTTCTCGTGTCCCACAACTTGATGGTGTCGTCCCCTCCCCTCGTGATCACCAGCCTGCCATCTGCACTGATATCCAGTCCGCTCGTCCATGTGTCTTTCGCGTGCGCTTCTTTGATCTCTGCTGTCGGCCTGTGGTAGGGTCCTTCACCACCCCACATGACGAGACTTCCGTCTAGTGCTGCTGACACTAGCATACTGCTCCCTCCCTCGGCTGCGGCGCCCCATGCAATGGCCGTCATCCTTGTCATGCCCGCGCTACCAGCAGCTCTTGACTTGTGTACGATGACCTCCTCCTGCTTCATCCTTTTGTTCACGTCCCATATCCGCACTGTACTGTCTGTGCCTGCCGTAGCAAAGCGGTCGCGATTCGTGGGGTGCCATGCGCCGCTTGTGATTTCTGCCGTATGTCCTTTTGTGTTGTGCTTGTCCCTCAGGTACATGTCACCCTTGACAAACTCTGATATAAGCTCTCCATCCCTGCTGAACAGCCTCGCCTGTGATGTTGCAGTAATGCATAGGAATTGGCCTCCAGAGTGTGGGCCAAACACAACCTGGTGTATCGAATGCGACTCTGCGGTTTGCGAGGGTTTGGTAGTGAAAGGATCGACCGTCTTGAAAGCGCGGATAGTGCTCGGGGTAAGTGCGCTAAGGTCGTGCAGCTTGAGTGTGCAGTCATTCCCTCCAGTTACCAGCCGCGTACCGGATGCATCGAGCGCAATCGTTGTGACCGCGCGATCGTGCGTCTTGATGACCAGTTCGTGAGAAACTGGGTATTCGTCCTCTTCATCGCTCATATCGCTATCATCGTCCGAATCCTGTTCGTCGTCCGACCCTTTCTCCTTCTTTGCCTGCTTGCTCTCATCGACCACTGGCCTACGCGCGCGCTCGATTTGCGCCTCGACGTTCACGGAGCCATCCTTCTTTCCAAACTCGCTGGGCAGGTATTGCTTGAGAGCCTGCTCGTCGTCTGCAGAGAATTCCATGATCGTGCTGTGTGGATGGCCCGCTGGTTTGGGCTAGGGTTGGCGTCGACGGTCGGTCGCAAGAAAGTTCGAGGTGGAGGCTGCAGTATGACGCGCCGCGCTAGCACAGGCGACCGAGGTTTCGGGACACCTTCACTCATTACCATCCTTCATGTCTACATCTCACTAATAGCTACAAAACCATAGTCAAAGTCCCTCGCCCTTACCAATGCCCTCCTATCTTACATTGAATCGTGTAGACTTCTCTTCCTCTTCAGCACGTCCGCTCGTCTTACGAACCACAGCCACCGAGCATCCGCGTTCGACGAAGCAATGTGACCATCGAACGACTGGCAATATGCCGGGACGAGTCCAATATGACCGGCAAACACCATGTTCCTCAACTCAAAGTCTCGGTCGCGTGACCTTGTATACTAATCTCACTGCCCGAGCTTTGTCCGGCACCCTCAAACCATCACATCAGCAGCAGCTCAAAAGTGGCGGCATCGTCATGCGCCAAGCAGTCCGCCTTGCTTCAGCCACAGAGTATAGCTTGGACAAGTATTAAATTGTTCGATGCCAAGAGTTCCGCTGCGACTTCAACTGCCAAGTTCCGAGTTGGGATTCTAGATTCCGGTTTGCCGTACGCCTGCACCACTCAGAGCGTCGCAAACTCCGATGGTCCTTGTCCGACGTCATGCACACATCCAGCACCATCAATCCTACTTGGCAACGCCACACGCTCTTGTGCCCTCAGCCTCAACACGTAATTGTGATTCCTCGGAGCCATCGTGTCGCTTGGCAAGCATCTTTCATGTAGCATATAAGTAGCTTGCTACCCCGCCAACTCCGCAGGATGTACCTCATCGAATACATACACCGTTCAATACAGATAACACAGATCCTACGCGAACGATACTTACCATGCCTCACCACCACCCCGGAACCTGGGCCAGCAAGAGCGACATCGACCCCACCAACGTCCCTTGGGCAGTCACAACTCATCTCCTCGCCATCAACCACGAACAATTGCTCCGCGTTACAAGACATCCCTTCCTCGAGCGTGCCGCAAAGGGTACCCTACCAAAGCCTCTGATTGCACAATGGCTCGCAAACGACAGGCAGTACCTTCAAGGTTATCTTGCTACTATCAACCACACCCTCAATCTCCTCCGCAGTACGCACAAATCCACGACTGCACCTGGTGAGGAGCCAGACATTCCCACGCGGTTCATTGGGTGGTTAGAATCTGCTATCAAGAATGGAGAGAGGGAGCTGCGGTTCTTCCAAGAAGTTGCTGAGATCTACAAGATCGATCTTCCTCCCTCACCACTCCAGGAGAACGTTAAATCCGCAGGTCTCCGCCGCTATGAAGCACTGTTCGCCAGTGTTGCTTCCCAACAACCAAACACATTCATGCCGTGGCTCGAAGGTGCCATTTTACTTTGGTCGACCGAGAAGGTATACTACGAGGCCTGGTCCTGGGCCCGCCGACAAGATGCTCAATCTTCTCCTCGGAACTACGACAACGACCAAGACGGCGGTGCGATGCGCAGAGAGTTTATTCCCAACTGGTCAAATCGCGACTTCCTCATGTTCGTTGAGCAGCTTGAGCGCATTGTCAACGAGGGTGTAAGCGACGCTGTTGACCGAGATGATGCAAGATGGGCAGAGGTCAAGAGCAGGATTGATCCTATTTGGAGGGCCCTGTTAGACGCTGAAGAGGAGTTCTGGCCAAATGTACCCAGTGGAGCGGGCAGTCTGGTCGAGCCAGGTGTTAGGCGCGGTGTCGATGGCAAGATGGACGGCACCACGCTGCGCAGTACAGGAGATGACGAGATCTTGAACGAGAGACAGGGCGTCCGCAGTGGAGATATCACCACGTTGCACAGCAACGAGCACGGACAGGTAGTGAACTAGAATCATCAGAGTTGGAAGTAGATTACTGCGCAGAAAGAGCGCATTGTAGTTGCAGGCGGCGTATAATACACACTTGATATTCAATAAATCCATAATAATATCGCAGCGTGTTGTACATCTGACTTGTTTGTAGGTCGCCATAACGAAATCGCTTCTGAACATAGTTGTCTAGCGAACATCTGATGCGTGTTAGACAACGGTCCGACAAAGATCCGGCGTGGTGGTCCAAGCGTTCTTTAGCGCCCAATAGCGTCCAATAGCTTGAGCGGCGCGAAAATACTGTCTGCTGTGAAAAAGTTCGAGAACATCGCATCGCCAATTGCAACACCAACCCTCGACACAATAATCGCCATGGCTCTCGTGCAGACCGACCCCGACGCGTATGTGATCAAGCCAGCGGCGGCTGCGCCTGCCATCGACACGAGCGACTGGCCGCTCCTGCTCAAAAACTACAGCGACCGTATGCTGCAGCTTCCCCATAGCTCCAGAATGCTTTGCTAATGCGCGTACAGTGCTCGTTCGCACATCGCACTACACTCCCATCCCAAATGGATGCACACCGCTGTCGCGAGACCTCAAGTCTTACATTAGCTCCGGTGTCATCAACCTCGACAAGCCTTCCAACCCATCCTCTCACGAAGTCGTGTCATGGATCAAGCGCATGCTGAGGTAGGAAACACTCGTGACTTTTCTTTCCAAGCGCTTTCAGCTAACGCGTGCCAAAGAGTCGAGAAGACTGGTCACAGTGGTACCCTCGACCCCAAGGTCACTGGTTGCCTCATCGTCTGCATTGATCGCGCTACCCGTCTCGTCAAGTCCCAGCAGGGAGCCGGAAAGGAGTATGTCTGCGTCATTCGCATGCACGACAAGCTCCCTGGAGGCGAGGCGCAATTTGCGCGTGCCCTTGAGACGCTCACCGGAGCTCTCTTCCAGCGCCCCCCGCTCATTTCCGCCGTCAAGCGTCAACTCCGTATCCGAACCATCCACGAGAGCAAGCTATACGAGTTTGACAACGAGAGGCAGCTCGGTGTCTTCTGGGTCAGCTGCGAGGCTGGAACCTACATCCGTACTCTTTGCGTGCATCTTGGTCTTTTGCTCGGTGTTGGCGCCCACATGCAGGAGCTCCGCCGTGTCAGGAGTGGAGCTATGGACGAGACCAAGGACTTGGTCACTCTGCACGACGTTCTCGATGCCCAATGGCTACACGACAACAACCGCGACGAGGCTTACCTGCGCAAGGTCATCGCGCCTTTGGAGAGTCTGTTGATGAGCTACAAGCGTATC